TTGTTTACTGTTGCTTGTAGCTCACGAGCTGCTTGTTCCCTCTCTTCCCCTGCCTATATGCAAGTATATCATCCGCAAAAGTCAGTATCCTTCCAACTCCTGGTGCTTCTAGGCTTGCAATCTTGCTCTTATATACGTTGAAGAGCACAGGCAGTCCTGGGGCCAAAGTGCATGGTTCAGAGGTCCATGAGCCCAGTCGGAGAGCAACCCGACGTGAATACAGGACAGCTGCAACCCTATTCACCAGCCATGGATTCACCTCCTTCTCCCTCAGTGCAGTCATTAAGATGTCGTATCTCACTCTGTTATAAGCATCCTCGAGATCTAGTCCTACCGCCATAGTTTCCTGTCTGTTCTGGAACCCTTCATAGCGACAAAAGCAAAAGTGGCCGCATTTGCCCAAGTGTCCTTTGCTGGCCTGTAACTTCCCAGACCTCTTGGGAGAAGCTTCCCCCTTTCCAAAAATTCTTGTAACTTTACAGCAACTATCTTCTACAAGACCTTCCAAAATGTGTTTTGTAAGGTGATGATTCCAAAGCCACTAAGCTTAGAATGATCTTTAAAAGGTTTTGGTAGTGGGATTAGATAGCTGTGCACCCAGTCTTGCGGTACTGATGCTCTCTTAATACTCTGGTTAAAACAGTCGGCCATCTCTGCCAGGTCTACATCACTCAAAGCCTTCATTTGACCATACCTGACACCATCAGGCCCTGGTGCAGTGTCTTTTGCTTTTTAAAAAATGTGTTTGATATCTTCCACTTGTATCATGTCTTCATAATGCATATTCTTCAAGGTGCCACCTAATTCTTTTCTAACTGCATCCCTGATGTCTACATCATTATGATCTGTCTGAGCTATAAACCTATGGAGAAAAGCCTCCCCTTTCTCCTTGTCTGTTGTCACACGCACACCATCGTCTCTACAAATTGTTCCGACTGTCATAGGCCGATCTTTTCTTTGCATCTGCCTTTGCAGTTTCCAGAATTTCCCCAATGTTTTATTGCCTCCCCTGTCATTCACAAGTTTCCCACTTTGCTCTTTTAGCCTCTGCAGCACAGCGCTTGAAAACCTCCACCTTACCTTTTTTCACATTCTCCGCCATCCCCACTTCCTCTCGTGAGCTTGAGGGCGTCTGTCGTACTTTCTTTAGCTGCTTTACTGCGGCTCTCTTTGCCTTCCACGCCTGTTCTACTTCTGGAGTCCTCCATGGGGGCTGTAGAAAATTGGTTCTGGCAGTTCTTTTGCATGCTCCCTATCTGAGGCGTCCAAGTAGGTTGGTGGTCCACTTATACTGGAAGGTCTTGCGTGCTCTCCCAACCTTAACTTTACTGAGTTTAGAAATCAAGACTAAACATGGTAGGTGGTCATTCAGGACAGTCCATTTAACATCTAAAACAGACGACTGAGAGACAAATGTCAAGTCAATGGCTGTGTCTGCATCTCCAGACTTCATTGCCATTCTAGTCGGCCTCCCATCATTGATGCAGTCCATATCGGAGTCAACCATGGTCTCTGCAAGAGCAATTCCCTGTCGGTTTTCTCCACTGCTGTCCCATTCTCTGTTCCTCGCGTTGAAATCCCCACATATGAGTAACCTATCACCTGGTAACTCCTCCAGTTCCTTGAGCCGGCTCCATTTTCACTTCTGACAAAACAGTCTACCTTGGCATATATATTTATGAGGTTCCAACTTAGGCCACCAATTTCCACCTAAACCTCTCGTCCACTGTGGTTCCACTGGCTCAAGTCAAGCACCACATGCTTCACTCCCTCCTTTACCACTAGACCTTGTCTGTGCTCTCCTGTCCAACAGGATTTATATAACTGACGTACCCCGGGCAATGATATCTGTCTGTATTTAGCTCCTGGAGCATGATATCAAAATCAAAAATCAACTTCTCCAGTACAGGACCTCTCTGCCTAGCACTCCGACAGTTCCAGTATCCTACTCTTACATGATTAAAGCTCAATCTCTCCGCTTTTCGCATTGCTCTCCTAGCACCCGCCCTCTTATTTCTATGGCTTCTTCTCTCCCCATTTCCTCGTCGTCTCCTCCTCACTCCCTCTTCACTAACCGCTGAAAAATGTGTCAAGCGCAGAGACGGTGCCCTGTAGCTCCGGCGACGATTCTTATGTATATTTTTAAAATCCATACGAAAAAAATAGAGTACTGCAGGAAATAACCGGTCGCCCTAGTATTGCCTGCCTGCTATGGAAGGGGCAATGGATGTCCGGTAGGAGTCCATACGCCTGGTGCCGCCCCGCACGCCCACCAGACGTCCAACGTTCACGACCAGCTCACACGTGGCCATCCAGTTCCTCAGCACGTTGGCCCAAATTGAACTTGGGGGTTTGAATTCGGAGTTTGCCGTCTCCTAGATGGACTGCTGTGCAAAGCTACCCGGACTTCTCCCAAAAAGAAGGCAAAATTTTGCTAAATCCCATGGACGTTAGGAAACTTTGTGCACTCTTAAACATCTGCTGCACTGTGAAGCCCTTGTTGTCAAGACTCTTCCTGAAGTTAAATACACTGTTGATTTTTTATATATAAGGAGGGTAGTCTACGGTTTCGCTGCCTGAGCTACTAAGTTTAGTGCTTGGTTGCAGCTCTGTGAGCTGTGTTTTTCATATGGAATGCCTTTCATTTGTGCAGCTGTTGCGTCGTTTTGTTCAATATGGCCGGTGGCCGGTTTACTTGTGAGCTTGTAAAAAAAAAAACCTTATGTAAGAATTCTACATGTGTGTGTAAAGTAACCAACTTAACGTGCCCGACTACTCCATCGACAACAAACTGCATTTCTGGTGGCGATTGTTGGCTTTGACGCCTCAAGCAACTGAAAGACACATTTACTGCGTGCACATAATTTTGGACTGTTCCAGAACTAGTTGTTTATTCACCAATATAGGTTTTTATATGTTGTGTTAATTGGAGAGGCAGTGAGAGAGTAGATGCTCTGGCTGGTAGTGCGACTATCAGGAATGGGCCCTCTATGGACAGGAGAAATATCATCAGTGCCATATGAGAGACTAAACACTGTGAGGCTTTCAGTTTTGTGGCCAGTTATTTTTCACTGTATAGACTGCAAACCCTGGGTTTACCATTGGAGCCGCGAGACAGGAAAACCATGTGGGAGCCATCCGTCATTACATCAGCCAGAACAGAATAAGAGTTTTTGGCCTAAAAACACTTGGAGACCTACTCAGGAGGAGATCGGAGAACTTACGGTCATGTCCAATGAGAGATAAAAATAATCATTAAAAAAAAATGAACAATGCACTGTATTGTGTTTTTGTGTGTGTGGGTATTTAAGTGTTCTTTCTTTTCTTTCTGTCCATCATTTACATGGTTAGCTTCTCTTTTGATCTCTAGTTGGTTTATATATTTTTATTGCTCAATTGGGTATGGTGTCTTAGATGGCCAAACTATTTCATTTGTCTTCTAATTATTCATTATAGGACCACACATTTTCTTTACTGCATTATCTCACACAGTTGCAACTTACTTGCTCTTTATTGTGACAGTTATAAGTTCACTTTTTTCCTGTTTCAATGTTTTACATTAAATGTCAGCTGGATTAGGAGAAATAAAGCACCCATATTTTAACTATATTTCCTTTATTCTTACAAATTTATATAATTTTATCTGATGATATCCCCTTGACTACTTATATGGACACCAAAAAAATGGCTGGACAGCTCAATGACAGTGAACATCATGTTCCACGGCGTTCCGTGTTCCCTGTTTATATATTTAAGTATAACATCATGATTCTTGTGTCACATTGTATATTTAAACTCAGAAGGATAGGCAATTTATCTTTTACTTGGAGATTATTTAAATGACATGTCAGGGGTAATTATGTGAACAAAGTCGAATGTACAGTCCAGTGGGAAATAACACAGATATTCAGGCTTTTGTTTAATTATGATTCAGAACATAATGTCAAGATGTTTGTGGAATCCACATTACCTTTAAATAGAGTGTTATCATCATCCGCGGATTTATCCTTACAATGCTGTTGTCAAATACTTAACAGCTATCATCATTTATTTCTGTGATGTTGTTGTGATTTTAACTGATGCAACGTTACCTCTTACAGTACCAAGAAGTTGTTTCTTTAACTCTTTATATCTAAAAAATCATGGCCAAACTGCAAGAACAACAAGTTAAGGAAAAAAAGGGGGGAGGGGGGGGGGTTTGGTTAGACAAGAGCACTATGCAAGAAGCCAAAGTAGAATACGAAATCAACACAGAACTGGTGTCATGAGCCGCTACAGGCTGCGGGATTTACTAAGGCAGGGATCCGAGCACTAAGGGACTGAATGGTTCCATGTGCAATAAGGACAGTCTGTTGACTAACTAACTAACTAACCATCTAACTATATTTTAAAGAGTTGAGCTTTAAAGCAATAAATACTAAGTTATTAGGGAGTTCAACTGAGATGCTGAGACAGAAGTAGTTATACTAATAATTCAGTCACAGTGTCTGTGTGACATGTGTCTATGATAGAAGACAACAAGAACATCATATTATCTAAAGAATTATCAAGATACTATGTTGAATTGTTTGGTGCTAAAAGAGTTCGGAAGAGGGTGGCCGAATTTGGTACTTTCATGTATAATTGCTAATGTTTAACCTTTGCAGAGCAAAACTCTACTCCATTTAACTCCAACTGACTTTTAAACATTTTTTTATCTTAAAAAAGTGCATGGGTTGGTGTCTTTAGTATTAACTTTTCAATGCTGAATTGTTTACGAATGACATAAATTTTGTGTGTAATCTATTCTACGAATGCCAAACTTTACAAAAACGAACACATTGAACAAGTGATATTTTTGTCATAAATTTGAAAAAATGCAGTGTAGTGACCCTTTAACCCACTACCTTCGGAAATTCAGTCAAATGTCTAGCTGCTGCATCGTGGTGGCTCCCAAATACCAACAGTAGAAAGGTTTTTTTTTTTAATTACATTAAAACAGGGTTGATCTCTTTCTGCAGATGCCGCCATCAATATTTGTCCTGCTATGCCATTCCTCAAGTTTCCTCATCCGTCATCTTGTGCACTATATTATGACTGTAGCCAGCCAAACGCTCGCCCAGGCCTGGCACCATGGGAGAACGAGTGTCCAGACCCCTACCACTTTGATGAAGACACATTCACTTGTATGAATAAACAGAATGGGAACAGTCCCGTCTGTGGAAGTAGACCTGAACCAAGTGGAAATGTGAGTTGAGTTTTCAGCAACAGTCATTTCTGTTACATTGGGTTGTTTATTAATTTAATGTATTTCTGTTTATATGTCCATCTTGCCTTTCCTCTGAGTGTATGACCTATGAGTGAATGTATGTGCACACAGAAGGTCAGTTTTGGAACAAGACCAAAGTTCCAGAAGTGGACAAACAACCAGAACTTTCTGCCAGAGTTTACAGCTGGTGAAATCAAAGAAGAAGATAGAGGGGTTAGTGTTTATGTACCCATTGGCGTACTAATTCGCCTGGAGAGAATGAGGTACCTGGGTGTAACCAGAGGATATGGTTGGCTCACTACACTCAGAGAAAAGGCAAGACTGAAATATAACCAGATTGTGACCGGTACCATCAGTATTGGAACTGTGTGCTGGCTTCTGGAGATGAGGACGGAGCACACATGGTACTGCCCCCGAGTGCTGTGATGTCAATTCTTGACTCAGCTCAACTAAATGTATTTTTTGCTTACCTGGCTATAAGGTAATTTTAAAGAGTGACAAATTGTTTACTGTTTTTCTTAAACCACGAAATATGTGTTTCATATCCTTCTTCTTCTTTTCTGTACTCCTGGAATGCCTCACAGGGTCAGGGCAGGGAGAGATCTCTGAAACAGGCCCTTCTGTTCACTTTGCATATAGAACTTTCAATCTTGTTACATGGCCTAACGACTTGATCTGTAGTCTTAAGTTAAGTATTGATTCTGTTTTAACATCCAAACGCCCATATTTCTTTCTTTCCTTTCATTTTCTTTGCTTTGTTATATTTCATTCCCTTTCTTTATTGGTTTGTTAATTGATTTGATAACCTTAGCTTCTGTCCATCCCTCCGTCCGTCCATCTGTCTGTATGTCTGTCTGCCCGTCATTCCGTCCGTCTGTCTGTCTGTCTGTCTGTGGGTGTGTATGGTGTGTATGTGTGTGTGAGCCAGCAAGCCAACCTTAGATTCTTTGTATCTCACTAAAATTACCCCATGGACCATTAATTAGCATCTAAATATAATATTTTAGATTTAAATTTATGCAGCTGATTTTCCTCGTTTGCTTTTTAATATGCTAATTACATTTGGACACATTTTAAGTAGACTGATATCCCCTATGGGTTCTAGGGCCCCATGGTGCGGGCAGTAGGTCAGACCCATTGCCCCCTAACAAGCATGTCATTAAATGGGTTGTGTAATACCTCCATGCAGAGTTTAACTGGATGCGTTTTCTACATATTGTTTTCTATTAGTTTGCAGAGAGTTCAGTATGGGGAGTTTAATGCATTGTATGATTCCTTGTTAGTTCAGTTGGGTGAATTAATTTGAGTGTGTTCAGCTGAAGTATTGCGCATTTACATTGCTAGTAGACTGAGTTAGTATTAATCCACTGTTGTTTGTTACAGGTGACTACAGGCTTGGTTGTCATGGCAAGAATTGTACAGGATTGGAAGATGGGCCACATTTTGATCCTCATTTGCCTTTTTCTGGTAGGTGTCATCCAGTTTTGTGGCTGTACAACTAAGGTATCACTAAACAGGCTCTGCAACTGGAAACAAATGGATTGAATAAGTGTGGACATTCAAGAGAAATCGTTATTCAAACATTCGTGACAGAAGCCAAAAGTACTCGAATGGACTCCATCAATGATATTAAAAGATTGCACAGGGTAGAATGGAATGGAAGACCAGATTGTGAAACCTATTGACATATTTAACTAATAAAGCGACAATGTATTGATCGGCACTCATAGAATATCTATTGACATATAACAGCACAACAGGATGATAATGTCAGTGATGATAATTTAGGTAGTGGGCCCAAAGAGTCACATGGGCACAGATTTTAAAACACTTGTGTTTTGAGAAGGTTTAATCTCCAGAATTGGTATGATTTTTTTCAATCTCTAGCCTACGTCTCTGGGGTCAGTCCAATCTCATTAAACTGGGAACTAAATCATTTCCACAAAATTCTGGAACATTTTCTGGGAAAGAAAGGAGGTGAGAAGAGAACTTTCCACCAGTGGAGACCAAACACATCACATGTCAGGGACAATGCCTGCTATGGAAACTACCTGTCCACTTTCATGGGGTTTATAATCAAGTCATTGAATTGTTCACTTTGTAAGTGTTAGAATACATATTTGCAGGGATTGTTTTTAATTTCTGGTGCTATGCAACACTACAAGTACTGGCACCCTTAAATACTACTATATTAGACGCTTTATGGTAAGTACCTGTCCCTGTTTGTATGGTGAAAGAAAACTTATATACCTGTTTGTATCTGCTTTTAGTTGGAAAAGACAAAATACAATGATGAAGCAAGCCATTCTTTTCACCTTATAATACTTTGTGACATCCTTACCCAGCTAGCAAGACTTGTAACATTGATCATAATAACCTAACATATTTTTCTCTCTTGTAAAGATAATTCTTTTTGTCTGTTAATCACCAGAACATTTCTATATTTGTGACAACGGAACTGTTTCTGAGAAAAGAACATGCCAGGAAGATGGCCGCATTTTTGATCCCATAGCTAGAGACTGCACAGAGACTGTCTTAGAAGGTTTGTCATCTTGGCATTTCTGTCTTCATGTGTTGTGTCTTCTCTTCACTGTTGTTAAACATATCTGTGAGAGTGGGGCTTCAGAGTTATAATTAGCCACTCTCTTGTGTCTGCAGATGTCTGACAACTCCTTGTATCAACAGCTATAAGATGGAAAGGATGGTAATATATTAGGCATGTCCTAAGGAAAAGAGCACAGAGGATCACTTAACAGGCACTGAAATGAGAAACACATGGGATGAGGAAATGTTGATTTCCAAAAGAACCCTAAGATGAACATTGTCGAGAGTCCATAGATGTTGGACTAGATTCCATCTATAATGATAAAAGAACTACAAAGGATAGAATATAATAGAGAACAAGACTGTGAGCCCTGTGTGAAGTATAAGGGCATTACAAGATGTTGATTATGATGATATGTCTGCAGCTTTCCTTTATAGTCTTTGTACCCATGTCTTTCTTGTTCTGTGAGTGCTATTATTTTACTATCTTTGCAGTTGTTTGGGATTTACATCATAAGTATTCTGCATCTGACTACATTGAACATAGAGCAAGGTTAAGACTATGCCAGCGATGAAGCAGCAGCATCAAGAACAGCCTTAATGTAATGACAGTCAGTCAGCTAACACAATGCTTTATAAAGAGCACACAAAAGATTCTGAAATCTCCCTCCAACACTTGGATGAGATAACCCGATAAAGAGAAGACAGAAAAGAAGATTGCTGCATGTCATTAACTGTTTCAGTCCTATCGGTGCTGTTGCAGCAAATGGATACCGTAGGGAATGAATGACCACTACGAAAAAGTCCAGAACAAATAACATTCAGATAGGCAAATTATGCAGTGGGAGTGACCAAAATGAAAGCCAGATTTCATGAGTGTGCTGTGACCAATAGTTAAAAAGAAAAAGGAGGTAAACACATTACTTGTTGGCTGGGATTCATGTCAAAAATTCTATTGCACGTCATACACTGCACGAAACTAAGAGTTAACATCTTTGATACCTGCCTCCTAGTAGTTCATGAGCCGTATGGGTTACAATAGCTAGCTGGTTTCCTGTCCATTACCTGCCTCTAATCTAAAAAGTACTAGCAACAAGTTTAGTTGTGGACAAGTCTTTTTTAATGAAATTAACAACAACAACAACAATGGGATGCTGTGCACCCATGTTATTTCTGATGAATAGATTAAGTAAATGAGCTTTTCAGAAAAGGTGCTAAAGTAAAACTGTCTAGGTGCATTTTGAGTACATAAAAGTTAGAGCGGCAGTGGAAACATACAGAAGTAGGCCATATAAAGCATTGCACAGGCAAAAATGTCGAAATATATTTGGACAGACTGGCCGCTTTTGCACCACTTGAGGGTGAATTAATGTATGACAAGCTAGATGGTGTAAGGGCCCTTTGGGAGTGAGTGTACGGTGCAGAGGCAAAGATAGATCAATACAGTCTGAGGAGAATGGTGCAATAAATTTCAAAAATGAGAAATTGAAACACTACAGGAAGTATGATTATTTTAAACATATAATGAGCACAAAACTTTCAATCCTTTTAACTGAAAGACACAAATCACTTTGTCTCTAGTTACCTTGTACATCTCATCACAGAAGTCTAAGATTAACGTTTGTTCCTTTTGTTTACATGAGGCAGGATTACCCTTCTGAACTCCCATTGTTTCTACAAATCTTAATACATTCTTTTTCAGTGGGTGATAAATTAAGACATAATTCTTATACTAATCTTGTGTCAGGAGACTGGCAGGTGACTTCCTGTTATCATCTCCTAAACTGCTATACTGTCCAACAAATTTGAAAGATGAAGCTACCACTTCTGTGCCCACAATGGGGCGGTAGCACCCTTTCATTGGATAGCACTGGTTCAGCCAATACAGCTCTTTCACAGCTGTTAATCTCACTGCTAAAAGCAAACAGTTACTGCCCTGGCTTTAAGTGTGAAGGGAGAAAACAATGAAATATAGTTTTTTTTCTAAACCTAATTCTTCAAGGGATCTTCCCAAAAAATGTTTCGATTCTAAGGGAAATAACTCCATTAAATGTTAACTTTCAGTGACTGTAGCATTAAATATTAGAAATATATATTCTTGTTACAAATTTAACCTTAAACCTAGATATTGCAGCCAGAATGACATCTGCAAATTTCACCCCCTCTACTTCTCACCACTTGGGAGATGGCCCTGTTAAGACACTAAACAGACAGACACACGGAGTTTTCGTTTTATATTATAAGATGAAGAATCTAGGTTCAGGTTTTCAAGCCAGTTGACAGATACAAGTTTGAAATAAGGTTTATATTTCCCAGAGAAGTGTTACGTTAAATAACTAGGTAAATTTACTAGTATAGACTAATGAACGTAATGTGAGCTGCTTGCTGTAGAGTGAGTGTATATTTATTCATTGTTCAAGCACAGATTCTATAAAAACATATTGCACAAGGAATCCAGCTGCCATTTTTGCTGATCCAACAAGGTGTTCACTGCTGTATGATTGTTCTCGAGCAAACTGGCATATGAAATTGAAGGTAATATTTTCTAAGTAGGGCAGTGTAAATGTACAAAGTGCTTGTATTGTAGTTTAAATAGTGTCTTTCCTAAATACATTTTGGAAAGATAGTAATTCCAAAGACTTTCTGTTGTCTTATTGTCTATGCCATATGGCACTGATATCTAACCAAACATTCTGCATCACAGTCTCTGTCAGTTCTAAAATAAAAGCAGGAAGGTTGTCTCCTTCTGAGGCAGATGATCAGTCGCCTTTGTGGGTCAGTTTTTGTTCAAGACATCTTTGTATCGTTTTTTTTTTTATTTTAAAAATTTTTTTAAATTTTAAAAATTGTATTTCTCGGAAGCTGAAATATTTTGGTCATATCAAGCGCCACAACGGATTGGCATGGTACCAGGAAGGAGGGGCAGGGGCCGACCGACATGTAGATGGGCACAGGATATAAGTGACTCCTTGAGTATGAAAGTATATGAGGCAGGAGAACTGGCAAGAGACTGAGTTTCTTTCAGGCAGACAGTGATGAGAGCGACGTTCTGCAAAGGACCTGCTACATGATGATGATGATGATTTCTCTTTGGTGTCCTCATCTTCTTCTGTGAAACTAGATCTCTGCTGTTTCCACATAATTTTGTTGTCATCAGATAAGAGATATGATCAAGGTTGGTCCTTAACTCTTTCACTCCCAGGCGGTTTAGCATTAGAGGCTCAAGGGTTAGTAAAGATAAATATAAAATCGGTGCATCTTGCGTTCAATGGGCTTCTAGGTAGGAACCTATGAACGTATGGTGTGATTCTTGGGACTGAATGAGTTAATTAAGGTGGTACACAACAGTAGGCAGTACTGGCACCTTTCTTTCTTTTTAAAAGCCCTAGATATTTTTAGGAGAGTGTTAAATACTAAGGCCCTCTCCCCCTCTCTTTCAACATATATATGTGTATATACCTACATACATACACGCATACATACATAACACCTACCTATCTACCTCCTTACATGCATTCAAACATAC